GGAGGAGGAGGAGGAGGAGGAGGAGGAGGAGGAGCAGGAAGAGGAAAAGGACGAGGAGGAGGACGAGGAGGACGAGGAGGAGGAGGAGAGGGGAGGAGAGGAGGAAGAGGAGGAGGAGGAGGAGGAGGAGGAGGAGGAGGAGGAGGGGAGAGGAGGAGGAGGAGGACAGAGAGGAGGGTGGTGGTGGACGGAGCGGGCGGGCTGAAGGCGGGTCACGAGCGGCGGACGCATACACATCCATGCCCTCGCGGCCTGGACTGCAGGGCGCGGTCCCGCGGATACACGGTCGCGTTCCGCGCGGGGCATCCGCGACCAAAAACGCCCCGTATCCGCGGGGGCGCTGCCTGGGGAGGTTGGCCCGCGAGGCCGCGGATACGCGGAGGCGTTTTCCGCCGAGGAAGTGGGGCAGGTAGTGCACGCGGGGGTGGGGGGGAGGGCGAGGGGCGAGGAGATGGGAGGGGAGGGGAGGGAGGGAGGGCGGGGGACCTGGGGGAGCGGGGGGGGGGGAGGGGGGGGGGAGACGAGGAAGGGGCAGGGGGGGGGGACGGAGGCGGGAAGGAGCACAGGCACAGGGAGACCACGAAGAGGACGGGGTGGACGGAGGGAGGGGTCAGGAGAGAGAGAGGGGGGGGGCACCCAGCCCGTGGCCCCAAGGATGGATGCGGGGCGCCTGAGGATCGCGGCCTCCTCGCGCGACGCGAGGCGGCCCAAAAACAAAGACTAAGAAGAGCTGAGCTCGCCCACGCGCAAGAATGGCCCTGTGTGCAGAAGTGGCCTTTGGTGCGCGGTCTCCCAGGGCCGCGGGGGGGGGGGGTAGACTCAAGCGCGCAGGCCAAAGTTGGAGCCACCCCTGTAGGCCAGCACCAAGCCCAGACCCCCGACGTCATGATTTGTTCATGGCGAAGAGGCCCAGGAACCTCGGCCTACTCCCTGGGACTGGATTCTCATCCCGAGTCGTCTTGCTGAAGACCCAGGGGCCCAGCAAGGCCCCCCAGAGGCCAAAAATATATCAAAGACCTTCCGTCGTGCCTTTTCCATGGCTCAATTGGTTGAGCAGGGACCGACCGTCCCGGCATTTCTATGGGCCTACCACGACAGGTGCTCAGAACCCAAAAACGCTCGAAGCACACAAACCATGTTCTTAGAACATAAGCCCGATGTGTTCAAACAAGACAGACTCCGCCAGAAGTGTTCTAAGAACCCTTCGCGGGAGCCACAAAAAAGCTTCCTGGAACATGGTTGGGCAGGCCTATATAGGCACGCCAGGACGCTTCGCCACTGCCTGACATTGGGGCCTGGGGAGGTCTAAAACAGGGCTATAGGATCGGGATAACTCGCTCCAGAGCGTTCCGGAGCGCTCTCAGAGGGTTCCGGCACGCCCTGGAGCGGCCGCGGCGCCCAAGGCATCCTCCAAACCCGCCGATGCTCAGAGATTTCGAGTTATCCCGATCCGATTTTGTCCCGATCTTCGCGTCGTTTTAAGGTTCGTTAAAGGCTTAACGACTTCTGCCGTCCTTCGACTCGCGCTGGAGCGGCCGCGAAATGCTCGAACTTTCCCTGGAGATCTCTGGATTTACCTGGATTTACCCAGATTTATCTAGATTTACCTGGATGTACCTTGATTTATCTGCATTTACCTGGGTTTATCTGGCTCGATTCTCACAAGTCGATTGGCGAAAAGTCGACAAGCCCTAAGGGAAAGGTCACTCCGGCGACAGGCCACTCTCAGACGCGTGGCCGATGAGCATTGGCTTGCGCTGCCGCGCCCGGGCCGCCGGCCTCCCCCCGCACCGAGGAGCCGCTCCGCGGCGGCCGGGCGCGGCGCCGGCCCCCGACGGCCGGCCGGGCAGGAGGCCCCGGGCACCTTCGTCCTTCCCCTCCTCCTGCTCCTCCTCCTCCTCCTCCTCCTCCTCCTCCTCCTCCTGCTCCAACTGCTCCTGCTTTTTCTCCTCCTCCTCCTCCTCCTCCTCCTCCTCCTCCTGCTCTTTCTCCTCCTCCTCTTCCTCCTCATTCTCCTCCTCCTCCGCCTCCAACTGCTCCTCCTCCTCCTCCTGCTCCAACTGCTCCTCCTCCTGCTCCTCCTCCTGCTCCTCCTCCTCCTCCTCCTCCTCCTGCTCCTGCTCTTGCTCCTCTTCCTCTTCCTCCTCCTTTTCCCTCCTCCTCCTCCTCCTCCTCCTCCTCCTCTTCCAAGTGTTTCTTTATCCTTATCCTCCTCCGCCCTGTCAGGCAGCGGCCAGGAGGTGTCGCCACCAGGGGGCGCGCCACTGCCTCGAGGAATGGGAGGAGCCGAAGCAGCACGGGGAGGCCGGCAGCACTAAAAGGGCTGGAGCCCCTGCGGACAGGACGATTCGAGCAGGAGAGGATCGCGTTCGCGCGGACCTGGAAAAATAGCACAGGGGGACCCCGTGCCCCGACCACATAGACAAAAGCCTTAGGGTAGTCCCTGAATCGCGCACTGCCCCTTTGCATGCTTGGCGCGGCCCGAAGGGAGGGATACTGCTGGAAGCCTTGAGCATGCAACACAGCTGGGCCTGGGCCGCATGCGTTTGTGTTGCCAGCCTCCCAGTATCAATGACACGCCGCTCCTCCTCCTCCTCCTCCTCCTCCTCCTCCTCCTCCTCCTCATCCTCCTCTTCCTCCTCCTCCTCCTCCTCCTCCTCCTCCTCCTCCTCCTCCTCCTCCTCCTCCTCCTCCTCCTCCGTCTCCACGCCACTCCCTCGTCGTCCTCTCCCTCACCATTTCTCCTCGTCGCTCTCCCACAAAACCCTCCGCCTCCGCGCCTCTTCCTCGTGGTTCCTCTCCCTGCCCCTCCTCCCCTCGCTCCTCCATCTCCGCGTCCTCAGCCTCTCCCCTCCACGTCACCATCTCTCATCCTCCATCTTCCATCTCCGCCTACGACATCCTACTTTCTCTGATCGTCTTTCTCGACTTCCTCCTCCTCCTCCTCCTCCTCCTCCTCCTCCTCCTCCTCTTCGTCCTCCTCTGACCCATCCCCTGCTTCTCGGGCGCTCCGCTGTCACAGCAACCAGAACGACCACCAACCAGAATACCGCCGTCGCGCACATCCCTGCACAATCTCTCGCTAACGCGCAGAATCCTCAATTATCTCCTTCTCGGCAGGGACATCTACCTCTCAGGACTATTGTGATGCTCCTGGTAGCCAGAACTTCCGTCGCAGTCGCTGCAGGCGTCGTCCTTACAACTGGGTCGTGTCTCTTGCTCCTACTGGGGATACAAGCGATATCACGAAGCCTATACATACTGGGCGTGCTTTTCCTCTTACGAGACATGCACTTGCAACCCACCGTCACCAACACGGAGAAATATTGCCAGCATCTTTGTGACCACCACTGCAATAATCATCACCACCAGCAGCACCATCATCGTCGCCATCATCCCGCCCCTCCCGATCCCTCTTCTCATCATCCACCAACCTCCCTCGTCTTGGTCCGGTCTGAATCCAGATGCTGCTCCTCGTCATGCCCATACCCTTCTCCTCCACGCCCAGCTTTCCACCGCCCTTCGCCAACAGGATCTTCTCGTCCTCGTCCGTACTCCTTCTTAGTATCTTCTCCCACTCTGCCACCCCGTGCAACCCGATCGGGGGGGGGGACCCACCCTTAAAAACACGTCCGAAATAACATCAACGACCTTAGTGTGGGTATTGACGTTCCGTCGCCGACGGCACGCCATGATGAACAACAGGCACGGGACGCGGCGAACTCGTTCCCGACTCCGCGCCGTGCACAGATTTGTCTGAAGGATTGCGCTCCCGCCTGGGCGCGGCGCACGTCCTCCGCTCGCCATATCGACGGACGCGGGGCTGCGCGCGAGCGGACGACATGTCAATCTCACACAAGCGCGGGGGAGACTTCGCCTGACACTGGCGCTCCCCTGTAGGCGCGCTGCGTCGTTCTCGCTCGACCAGTGGGGAAATGGGTCTGCGCCCGAGAGAGAGAGAGAGAGAGAAAGAGAGAAAAAAAAAGAGAAAGCGAGAGAGAGAGAGAGAGAGACCGCCTTCGGCGGTCCCAGGTCTCGCGTCAGAGAGCTGCGCCCCAGCCTGGGAGCGGCGCACGCCGTGCACCGCGGGGACTTGTCCGGCTCAACGGCAGAAGCACCCACTCGGCACCGCGCGAGGACTTTCTGGGAGTTCGGCTGCCGCGTGTGCGCAGCCCGCGGCAGCCTCGGCATCGCGCCAGTCGGTCCGAAGATCCAGTTGTGCCGGAGTTCGTTCCTCTGTGAGCGGAGGGCGGGTGGGATAAGGCGGGGCCCGCTGCTTCGTTCATGCTAGCTGGCTTGATCGTCCTCCTGCTGCTCCACCTCCCCCATCTCCCTCATCCCCCTCATCCTCCTCCTTCTCCTCCTCGTCATTGTCTCGTCTCTCTGCCCTGGTCCCCATCCCCCTCATCATCGTTCCCCGCACTCCTCCTCCTCCGCCTCCTCCTCCTCTTCCTCCACGTCATTTCCTTCTCCTTCCCCCAATTATATCCTCACTATTGCCCTCCCCCCTGCCACACGTCATTATATCCCTACCCTCCGCCTCAACGCCTCTCCCTCGTCGTCCTCTACCCCACCTTATCTCCTCGTCGCTCTCCCCCATCACCCTTCGCCTCCGCGCCTCTCCCTGGTGATTCCTCGCCCTGTCCCTCCTCCCCTCGCT